TTTACAACACTCCCCCTTGAATGACATATTACAAAATATCTGCCTCGTTAAAATCTTGTTTGATAAAAATCTAATGGGACAAAAATCAAACGAAGGAAAAAGAGTACAGTTATTTTAGAGTACTAAAAATAAATGCTGCCTCATTAAAATCTTGCTAGGAAAAATCAGTGGGACAAAACCTAAGCTAAGGAAAATAGTACAGCTACTCCCCCTGACGTTGATCACTGAAAATCTTTGAGTCGACGCATTCCAATCTCATGAACTAATTTCTTGAATGTAGATGTTGGCAATACTTTTATGATAAATCGGCCACATTGTCATTTGAGCGAATTTGTTGGATATCGATGTCGTCATTCTTTTGAAACTCATATGTATGAAAGAATTTTGAAGAAATATGCTTCGTCCTATCACCTTTGATATAGCTTCCTCTGAGTTGTGCAATACAAGTTGCATTGTCTTCATACAAAATTGTTGGACTATCCTTTCTTGAAATTAATCCGCATGATACTTGGATATGATGGGTCATGTTTCTCAACCATACACATTCTCGGCCTGCTTCATGAATTGCAATAATTTCATAATAATTTGAAGATTTAGCTGTCAAGAATTGCTTCACAGATCTCTATGATATAGTCGTTCCTCCACGTGTAAACACACAACCTGTTTGTGATTTAACTTTATGTGGTTCAGATAGATAACCTGCATCTGCATATCCCACTAAAGCAGATCCCGACTTTTGAGAATAAAATAATTCCAAATCAATAGTACCCTTTAGGTAACGAAAAATATGTTTAACACAATTTCAATGTCTTTGAGTTGGTATAGAGCTATATCTTGCAAGAAGATTTACAGAAAAAGTTATGTCGGGTCGAGTGCAATTTGCAAGATAAGTTAATGCTCCAATTGCACTAAAATATGGTACTTCAGGACCAAGACCTTTTCTCCATCTTCAAGTGGACGAAATGGGTCTTTTTTCACATCAAGTGATCGAACAACCATAGGTGATGCCAATGGATGTACATTATCCATGTAAAAACGTTTTAAAACTTTTTTTGTATACGTAGATTGGTGAACAAATAATCTATCTACGAAATGTTCAATCTCCAATCCAAGACAAAATTTGATTTTTCCCAAATCATTCATCTCAAATTCATTTTTCAAATAATTAGCAGTATTATTGAGCTCTTCAGGAGTTCCAATTAAATTTAAATAATCAATATAAACTGCCACAATTGCAAATCCACTTTTTGTTTTCTTTGTGAAAACACAGGGGTAGACATCGTCATTTTTATACCCCTCATTCAACAAATATTCGCTACGGCGATTATACCACATGCGTCCGGATTGTTTTAATTCATATAATGATCTTTGCAATTTAATTGAAAACATAATTCTCAGGCATGTATCATTTGTTCCTGGTACCTTAAATCCTTCAGGGACTTTCATATATATGTCACTATCAAGTGAACCATACAAATATGCAGTTACTACATTCATAAGGCGCATATCAAGATTTTGTGATATAGTCAAACTAATTAAGAATTTAAAAGTGATGGTGTCCATTACAGGAGAATATGTTTCCTCATAATCAATTTCTGGTCTTTGTGAGAAATCTTGAGCTACTAGTCGAGCTTTGTAACTTGTAATTTCATTATTTTCATTCCTCTTATCTTCACTCTCGTCTTCAATCAAAATCTCATATTTTTCTGATAATCCTATAGGGATAGTATCAACCTTGCCACTTGTTTCATCACAATTGCAATCTAATTTAACTCCCTTTATCAAATCCCCAGAGTCTTCAACAACACTACCAAAAGCTTCATCATTTTTACAATGCTCAGAAAACCCATCAAGGTTTTGCCCTCTATGATTACTTTCTTCTTGAATTTTTTCTGTAGCTTGAGAATCAGGCAAGTCCTTCCTTGGTTTATTTCCATGAACCCAAGGAGCTAAAATCGACTTATTTCTTGAACTAGAGCTCGCAGAGCTATCCCCAGAAGTATTATCCTCACTTACTGTCACAGTAACGACACCCTCAGATAACGGCAGCAGATGTTCTTCATAATCCTGAATCGAATCATCACTCTCTTGTTTATGTTCTTCCCAAGGGAATTTCTCTCTTAAAGAAGGGATTTTGAGGGACCATTTATCTTGAATTTTTTCAATAAAGCTTGGCCTGGGTTTTCTCTTCTTCTTTACAGGGTTGGTTTCGTGTTGAACGGATTTTGTGCAAGAAATTTTCAATTTTTGACCTCGAAATCTGTTTGAACAATGGGGTTGTGAGTGAAATGTGATCAAGTAGAAAGATTGAGAAGAATATGAAGATGAAGCAGAGAACAAATTCGAAGGCAGGGGTGAAGGAGCCATGGTGATGAGGTTGAAGAATCTCTGCGAGAACGAGCCTTAAAAAGATGGCCTGAAAATTTCTGACTAACCCAAATTGCCAATGAAAATGGGTTTAGGAATTTTACATAAATAGCATTAAATGTGGGAAACTATGATCACTTGGCATCTTAATAGTTAATAGAATAGAACTAATGAATAGCTCAAGCACTTTACCTTAAAAATTTTAAATTATCTAATAGGGATGGGAAAATATTTCGCGACCGCCCGATATTACA